ACAGAGAGAGTGAGAGACAGAGTGCGAGTGCAGTAGGGACAGAGAGAGGGAGACACAGAATCCTAAGCAGACACAGATTCTGAATCAGCTGTCAGTACAGAGCCCGATGCGGGGCTTGAACTCGGGAACTGCGAGATCATGATCTGAGCTGAAGATACTCAACTGACAGTCACCCAGATGCCCCATCTCACCTTCTAATATACCATGTAATTTACTTCTTCATTGAGTTTATTATAATCTGCAGTATGACTTCTGTGGTCTCAAGGCAATTTTGCCTTAATGGCCTCTTCCTCCATTAAAAAAATATTTATAATTGTATTTTATGGCTGCATTGATATAAAGAAAAATATGATCCAGGGTGGATGCATTATTGTAATATTCACATTTTTTCTGGTTTTAAAAGAAATTACAATTAAAACATTTTTGTGGGCCACCAGAAGGATCCTGGGCATTAGGCCCCATGTATAATGGATAACTTGGCCCTGGGTTTATAACTGCTTCCCCATCAGAAGGTAGGCTTTTGGAGGACAAGGACTCTTGTCTATTTTACCAATTGATATTTCCCCAGCAAGTAAAACAGGGCCTGGCATATAGCAATGTTCAATAAATATTTGCTGAATATACAAGTGGCTAAAAATATCATTTTGATTTTCCATTAGTTTGCCATTCCCTTAGTGAAATAGGTTTGTGTGGCCTAACCTAGAATGTACTGTTATTTCCACTTGAATACTTAAAACTTCAAGAATAATTCTTTAAGAGCCTAAGCAATCTTTGAACTAACCATAGGACTCCAACTTTATACAACTCTTGGGAACCATGGGAGTGAGCTAGAGGAGTTACTCTTCTGTATCTGTTCTTGGTGCTCTGTAAAGTTCTATGCTCTGTCTGGAAGTTATTACAAATACTATGAGGAACATTTTTTTTCAACTTAAAAAAACTTCCTTAAACAATTATAAGAAAAAATCTTGCTAGCTTGAAATAAACCATAATATTGAAATATCTTCTAAGTAACGAAATAAGTCATGAAAATGCTTAAGATAATTTTATAAAACTAAACTAGTGTGGTTGCCATGTTACAGAGATTCATTTTAATGAAAAAAAAAGAAAAAAAAAACTCCATGAAAATTGGTGGGTCTCAGGTGGTAGAGCAAGGATAAGAGAATGACTAAATTTGATTTGTATTTATTAGAAAAGGGGAGATCAGACCTTCAATTTGATTTGGGAAAACCGAAGTTAAACTTGCAGGGGTAAAATATAGCTTATTTTTTACTGAAGAATCTTGGTACTTATGAATTTCTTAGGCTAAAATGTGGCCACTAAAACCTTTTTGAGAGGAAATGTTATTTCATGGGAGACGAAAATCATTACAGTGTTGCATACATTTAATAATATGAAGAATATTCTAATTTACAGCTGATGAGGAACTTTCATGGTGGTTTTCTTACCCTTTCTGGAACTACTGTGAAACTTCCCATTTGTTCTACAGGCAGCAGTCTTATTTGTTTTTCTTGGAACTTGACTAACAGTCAATATTTAGGTATATATGTCTGTCCCCCATTAGACTGTTGGGGGAAGCATGAGCAGTTTATTTTAGTACATATATCACCCAGCATGATGCTTTTCATATTGAATAGATATTCAATGAATGAACTGTTGAACGTGAAATGATTTAACAACTATGGACATGGGGTGATTTTCTTAAGCTTGTTTTCATTATATAAATATTTAGGAAATTCTTTCCTTTGAAGGTTTCTTTTTTGCTACCTGACAGGTATCTGTTTCATATACCTGCTTAAGATATGGGTCCCAACCCTGTCAGAGTAGGGCAGAAGATGGACCCGTTATCTACTTATCTAATACTTGCCTGGAAACTTACTGGAGACATTATATACATGATCTCACTTAATAATAACAACAACTTAGAGATATAGGAATTATATACTTCATATGATAAATTAAAAAAGGCCAGGGCTGACTAATATGCTCAAGGTCAAACAGCCAATAAGTTAAAGGGTGAAATTCAGTCCTAAATCTGTCTAATACCAAAACTTACATTCTTTCTCACATGAACAAAAGATCAGCTCTACAAAGTAATATGACATTTAGGAATGGAGCATGCTTTTAAGGCAAGATATTGAAAGATAACATAATGAATTTTTATAAAGTAGCTTAAATTTTAATTCAGTAGCCACTACATTAAAATAAGAATTTTGAATCATAATGATCTGCCAGAGAGACCTATATGAAAATAATGAATACATTGCTAAGAAAAATGAAGACATTTACAGTGACAGATACTGGTCCATGGAATTTTATATCATTTTTACATCCGTATTTTGTCATGTCCAGGTCAATTGTGAAAATGATTCTACTACTTTTATATTCTTTGTCCTTCTTTACCTTTTGTGATGATTTATTTCTGCCTGTCTCCTTTAGTCTTATATGTCGCATCTTCACTTGCATTGCTGATTTTTTTCTATCTTACTTCTATGAATTCATTACTTATCCAAAGTTTCTTTATATCTTCTTCTTTTTTTTTTTTTTTTTTTTTTTTTGGTCCTCCTGAAAGAGCTTATTACAATACTATCTGTGTGATTCAAAGAAGTCCCAGTGTAGACCCATGCAATGCTTCTTCTCAGATTTCAGAGCTAGGGAAATATCTCTTTCCTGATAATTTGGTTTTCTGCCTTATTAGCTATTGAGAGTGATGTATCCTATTATATTTCCCTTTTGCTTTGAATGCCTGAAAGATAAGCATTTGGTTTTGTGCACAATAGCAATAGTTTCCCTAGACTTCGTTGTCTGGGATGATTATTGTTCCCATCATTACTTGTCTGTTGTCATTGTTTAAATGATGTTACGGTTTTCTCATGTGTGACCTTAATCTGTAAGAGACCTCCCTTTCTTTTTGGAGGTAAGAAAAAGAGAAAAAGATGAGGAAAGAGACTGAAAGAGATAGAAAGAGACGTGGGAAAATTAGACATTTCATCAGTTTTGCATCAAATTTGGTTCTGCCCTGTCTTCTCCAATTTAAGTGAATAATTTCTGTCTTGCTTTGTATGCAACTTCGAGTAGCTGGGACAACTGATTTACTCTTTTGTGCTTGACAACATGTGTTCGTATCTCATGTCCTTTAGGAATGGAGCACTTCTTTATTTTGTCAAACTTTTTCTACAGCCTGTCTTTTTCCCAGATTGGAGCCTTCTTTCTGAATGCCAGATCTACACAGGAGGTCTTGTTATCCTTGGCCAGATAGCCCCAATTCTGAATATGAGCCTCTCTGTCCATCTGTCTGTTGCTATGTATATGTATGCACACACGCCTGTATGCACACATGTTTAACATACACACATATGCATGTTAATGATATTAAGAAAGTCTAATAGAAGGTGCCGGTGTGTATTTATATTAATGCTAAACACTGTCTGTGCTGTTTCTGTTATCTGTGCCATATTTTAGTTGGTTGCTTTTGCCTTGCTATTTGCCTTTCAATGTCCCTTTTACAACACGGCATCTATGTCTACTTTGAGATTCATGCCCACCACTGCCAGCTTTAACACACAGCAGGATAATCTGGTTTCATTTTAAATTCTTTTATCTCTCTAAAAAGTTAGAAGGAAACATTGCTTTATAGCCCTTTAGTTTGGTTTGGACTTTGACGCTATGTTGATAGTAGATTAGGTCAGCCTGCCTGCATGTACCTACATATATTTATATGTATATACTTACATTCTGCCATATCCAATAAAAAGAATATTCCATTCTACAAATTAGTTGTGCCACTGACATATTTTCCTTCTCTGATTCAGTTCATCAGAACTTTACTGGATCTCTACCATGTACAAGGCACTACACTAGCTCCATAGTAACAAATACAAATAAGACGTGAAGTCTGTTCTTTATGGAGTCATGGTCCATGCTGGAGACAAAAATACCTATGATATAAGTGGAGAGAGATATGGGTCTTGACAGTGATTCAAATTTTGTGGCTGACATGCTTCCTAGTGGCACACTTCAGGGTTAGACCCAGGGACTTGTGTGAGTTGCAGAGCACTAGCTGTCACTGTCACCTGTTTCCCCATTTAAAAAAAATTTTTTTAATGTTTATTTATTTTTGAGACAGAAAGAGACAGAGCATGAATGGGGGAGGGTCAGAGAGAGGGAGACACAGAATTGTAAACAGGCTCTAGGCTCTGAGTGTCAGCACAGAGCCCGACGCGGGGCTCGAACTCACGGACCGTGAGATCATGACCTGAGCCGAAGTCGGCCACTTAAGCGACTGAGCCACCCAGGCGCCCCTTTTTTTATAGTGGTGGTAGTACTGGATTATTTTAGGAATAATCTTGAATTCAAACACATGTATGCTGGCATGTGAACCTGAATAGATTACTTACCCTCTCTATAGCTCATTTACCTGTTAATAATATGCAGTCATATGTATTTATTAAATGTATAAATATTGTCATATAATGTATGTGCCTGGCACAAAGTTGTCTTAGAGGATACGGTGGTGTATAAGACACGTAAGTTTCTGTTTCATGAAGATTAAATTTTAAAAGACAACCATACTGGCCCAACTGTAGTAATATAGAATTACATACACAATATATAGTTTACTAAAGCAATATTTTATGTAAGTATTATTGCATATTTGAAAGATATTCAATATATTCTAGGTATTTATTTTTATTTATAGGTAATAAAAAGTGAACTTTTTCTTGCATCATGCAGAAATCAAGATATCACAAAGTATTACATATGTCATATGTATTTAATGTTTTATCTCAAGGTAGAGAATACAATATAGTAAGTGTTTGTGGCAACTTTCACTCAGTGCAGAGATGTCACTGCTTGATTTGACATTTCACTGATTCTTGAATCTGGCAGTTGAGATGAATACCAGAGTTCCTAACATGCTATGTTCTGGGTTTTAAATCACCTTCTGGCTCCTCTATTATTCTCTGAACTTAATAAAGACATTATGCCCATGTGTTTTCCAGATCTCATAAAGCGTAAGGCGGTGTAACCTAAGGTGCTGGAGGAAGGAGTCAGTAGATACCTTAGAATGGCCCCTTTCATCCTGATCACAAGGCGTGGGACATTAACATGGATCTATGCTCTTCTCCAGCAGCTGGACCCAGGGTAACTTCTGAGAAATGCTGACTTCTGCACTGACTTTATGCAGAGATGAAAGAAATGTGTGTGTGTCTTAAAAGCAGTGATTAAAGATTTGTCGGACTTTCTACTATTCTTTCATCATTTACCCAAACCTATGAGTGTGACAAAGTGTGTGTCATTAGAAGGCTTTTGTTAAAAAGTAACCACATGAGATACACGTGATGATGTGTGAAGGTTCCCCACCCCCAAAAAGGTTTGTTAAGAAGTTTCAAATACTAACTTTTAGATCATCGGTAACATTTTACATCAGAAAGACAGTGTTTCTGAATGTAGATATATTGGGCCTCAGTTTACTTGTCTGTAACTCAGGGCCAATAATAGAGGGTCCTTGTGATTATTAAATAAGTTAATAGGTATGAAGTGCTTTGAAAAATACGTGGCAATAGAAAGTGCCCCCCCCACCCCAGACAGGAAAAAGGTAAATAACTTCACCCAAGTCATGCTGCTTGTTACTAATTACCTACACTGCAAGAATTGATGTATGTTTCTTGACTTATAGTTTAGCAAGAAGTTGAGAAAGATACTATACAAGTGATGTTAATTTTATATGCTCACCGTGTTCAGCCACTGAGATTTTGGCATTCATCTCTTAGGCAGCCTGTGTTACCAGAACTATTACCCAAATTGTACTTAGAAGTGAGGAGAGCTGTAACAACAACAACAACAACAACAACAACAACAAAAGCCTAAAAGATATATCTCTTAGCTTGGTAAGACGTCAGTGGATGGCAAGAAAATTTGTGTAAGAGGCTAGAAAGATGGAGACCCAAGATATACAGTGGCAAAATATCTGGCAAGACTAGCTGCAAAATCCTGGAAGGTGAACTGTATGTTTACCAAATCTGCATCCATCAGAGGACCCGAATAAATTAATGAATGGGCAACGCCTCTACCCACCTGTTGTATTTTAAATGAGTGAAAAATGAAATTCTACTTTGTTGGTCATTAAAAATTTAGGTTCATATGTTATTGCAGGTAGTGCCACGTAAACTAATACAGTCTTTTGTGTAAACATCAATTCATTACTTTGGTCTTAATTTTTTCTATTTACCAAATACTTTCTTACTACAAGTTACTTGAATTTTGTGATGTTTCAATCTAAATTTATTTGAATTACTATTAATGAAGGGTACAATTAAGCACTTGCTTTTTGCCAGGTACTGTGCCAAAATATTTAACTTGTCTCACTGGCACTTTATAGTGTGACCCACGGCAGATGTACAATCTTTATTCCTTTTTACAGATGGGACAACTAAGGTTGAGAAAGCTTAAGTAACTTCGTTAAAGTTATAGGTGGTACATGAAAATTGTTAGTCACTTAGGATAAAGTTATCCTGTTGGCACAGGATAAAGATGAGGTCGATGATTACTCAAACCCGTGAGTGTGGATGACATATTTTAGAGACAGTATGTTGTATGGGAAATAAATAAAACAAATAAGAGGAGACAAGAGAAAAGAGCCTGGTGCAGTACTCGAGAAATAGCTAACTTTAAACATGGGTAGAGTAAAAGAAGCTGTCAAATGAGAGTGATCAGAGAGTCTGAAAGGTAGGAGGAAAAATAGAAGAGTATGATTTCATGAAAACAAGGAAAATGAATGTTTCAAAGAGGGAATAATCAAGAGTGTTAAGTGTTGAAGAGAGGGCAAAGAAAAGGACCAAATGATGAGTTTCCTTTAGAATTATAAGTGAACACGTGACCTTGGCAAGAGCAGTGGAAGAGAAGGAGGTGAATCACACTTATGGTGCAATGAGCTGTAAGTGGAGGTAAGGAAATGAAGACAGGAAGTAGAGACAACATTTTGAAGAAGTTTGTGGAGAGAAAAGAAGTATAAGTTAGTAACTGGGGTGGACTGTGGTGTTGAATTTTGGGGTTTTCTTTGGGGGGGTGTGTGGGGGAATGTATTGGGAAGAAATATGAGAGGCTGATGATGTAGAATAGAGAACAGGTAATTGAGCAAACATGAACATCTTCTGAGAAAGCCAGAAGAATACAATCCAATATGTGGGACAAAGATTTATATTTTAATTTGAGGAAAGGTGAAAAGGATAGAGGGTGATATAAGTAAGTAGAATTATTTTAGCTAGGGAAGTTAAGACATTTTTTTGCTGGTGTGTTCCATTTTCTCTCCAAAGAAGGATATAGTCAGGTGGCTGAGGATGAAGACTGTTGAAGGTTTGAAGAGCGTGGGCATGATTTTAAATATCTTCAAAAACTAGAAAGAGAGCTGCTAGTAAAATATAGACATAATAATACAGGTCTTCAGTTTGGAGGAGCCAAATGAGGTTGAAAGCTAAACGCATACAGATCAAAAGCACTAAAATTTTGCATACTCTTTGATCTACTATGTTTGGACTAGAAATTTATACTAAATGAGTAATTATAGATGTACCCAAGATATCACCATGAGGATATCCACAGTAGAATTGAGGATATTGAAAAACTGAAACTTAAATACTTACTGATAAAATTATGGTACATTTGTAAGTAGAATATCATGAACCCATTAAAAATTGTGTTTTAGAGGGGTGCTTGGGTGGCTTTGTCATTTAAGTGTCCAACTCTTGATTTCAGCTCAGGTCATGATCTCATGGTTGGGTTCATGAGATCAAGCCCTGTATCAGGGTCAGTGCTGGGCATGCAGCCTACTTATGATTCTCTCTCTCCATTTGCTTCTCTCTGACCCTTTCAAAAGAAGTATTTTAGAATATCTAACATCTAGAAATATGTTTATAATATTCTAATGAAAAGTAGAGGCTGTAGAAAAGAACATTCAGTATGATTTTCCTTTTTTTATAAAAATAGATGTACTTACTAATGCAAACAAAAAAAAAGCAGTCTTAAAAGTGGTGACTTCTACATGATGGGATTACATGTGACTTTTTAAATTTTTTCTTGTGTATGTTTATACTTCTGTTATAAGCATTTATAATACCTATCATTAAAAATACCTAAATTTTTAGAGAATTTATTAAGGATTTAGTGAGAACCTAAAATATGACCTATGACATAGTACAGATACCCCAAACTATTGTTGTGGGGAATATTATTCCAAGTGCTGTTAATAGGTATCTCTAGGGGCAAATCCTCACATAGGTTTGGAAAGTTTTGTTTTAATTAAGATTTCATAGGCATGACATAATGTTATGAATACACACAACTTCTAGTATGCTAATTTTCATTGGGAATCTTCTTTCCCAATTTTAGTTGCCACTGAACCCTTTTTTGCATGAAATATGGGTTATCAGTCCCTAAGACTATACATGTTCTCTACATTGGGTGCCTTGTTGTCATGAGACTGGCAAGAGCAGGTACATGACATTTTATGGGTTGATGAAGATTGTCAGTTTTTCGAAATCCATCTTCAAGAGGGCACTACTCAATGTATAGAGTTTGATTTTTCTCATTTCAGAGATATCATTTTTTAGGTGACAACTTTTACACAGCTTCAGAAATGCAACCGTTGTGACTTTTAACCAATTTAAATCAATGAAACTGTGTGTGTGGTGCTCATAAAAGTAGTTTCTGAGAGGTAGGCCAACCAGTCCTATGGAAAATAAAGATATATAAAATGTGCCAACATACAAGTTTAAAATCTAAGCTTTTTATTGAATGGCTTCTGTCTTTATAGCATCAATGAGTACAAAATTAAGGCTTAATTATATATTTTATCTTTTTTGTAATCTTTTGATTTTATTTAAGATGCTTTATCTTGAACCTGTGAAGGTATATTATCTTCTTTCTATGTATCCAAATATATTTACCCTCCTTCTACTTATTCAACTATTCTACTTATAACCTACTTCTTATTTTTTAAATGAACACATGCCAAAAATCCTATATAAATCACTAAGCAATGAGGGAACCAGTAAGATGTTACTACCAGTTTGCATAAGAATCCAAAGGGCTGTACCCATAAAGGCCTATGGTACATGTTCAAATAAATTTGCTTAATACATGTACAACTGGCAAACTGGTTAATATCTACAGAGCAATAATCCACTAAACACAATTTGCACTTCGATGCTCGAGTATTATTCACATTACAGTTGACTCTTGGAACAACACAGGAGTTAGGGGTGCTGACAATCCCTAACTTCATGCAGTTGAAAATCCACATATAACTTTTGACTCCCCCCAAAACTTAACTACTATTGACCAGAAGCCTTACTGATAACATAAACAGTAGATTACCACATATTTTGTGCATTACATATATTATATACACTATTCTTACAATAAAGTAAACAAAAAAGCAATGTTATTAAAATTATAAGGAAGAGAAAACACATTTATAGTACTATACTGAATGTATTGAAAAAATTCTTTGTGTAATGGGACCCATGCAGTTCAAACCCATATTGTTCAAGGGTCAACTGTATTTTGATATTCTACAATTTACAAAATTATAAAATAGGTTAAAGACAATGAATAGTACAAACCCGATAGAGTCAGATAACCTGGAAGGGTGTATTCTAGATAACACAGTTTTCTTTTTTTTTTTTTAATTTTTTTAATGTTTATTTATTTTTGACAGGGAGAGAGAGAGAGAGCATGAGCTGGGGAGGGGCAGAGAGAGGGAGACACAGAATCGAAAGCAGGCTCCAGGCTCTGAGCTGTCAGCACAGAGCCCGACACGGGGCTAGAACTCACAGACCAGGAGATTGTGACCTGACCCGAAGTCGGACGCTCAACTGACTGAGTCACCCAGGTGCCCCTAGACAGCACAGTTTTCTACTGAAAACAGTTGGCAATTTTTTTTGATACCTTTGAGAGTCTTTCACAGTTTTCCCTGACAGTCTCTGCTTATCTTAAAATTGTGATAGTCACAAAGAAAGATTTTCTTTTTTTTCTTTTTTTAAATAAAAAAAAAGTTATTTATTTTTGAGAGAGAGAGAGAGACTCTCTCTCTGTAAGGGCAGAGACAGAGAGAAACAGAGAGAGCCTGATGGACTCGAACCCACAAACTGAGATCATGACCTGTACTGAAGTCAGATGTTAAACCAACTGAGCCACCCAGGAGCCCCAAGAAAGATTTTCTTGATTATGAAATAAGTCTGGTCTC